GAAGCTGCTTTCTCATACCCCCTGTTCGCTGATCTCCGATAGGGGTCCCAGATGGCGGATCCATGCTGCGGTAGCCGATAGAGGACCTCTGCATGTATCGCTTCTCGGTCTGTTTTCTCAGTCAGTTTCTTCCATTCAGTGCTTGGCTGAGTTCTTTCTCACCTCATTTGATGCTTAGGGTTTCAGGATTGATGTGTGACTCTGTTTGACTTGGTTTTTCTGATCTTTGCTGTGGAGGGACAGTGTGGTGCTTCTGACTATAGCCCCACATTGCCCGAGACTCTGGGATCATTTTAGCCTTCGAATTCCAAGCAGGGACCCTGCTTTCCAAGTCCACTAGGATGGTGATCCTGTTCCCTTGGCTTTAGGTGTCCCTGTCCTCCTGGTCTACTGGAGCAGTGACACTACTCCCTCTGTCCTGGGCAGCCCCATTCTCTTGACCCACCAAACGCCCTACCCTCTCGAACCTAGGTGGCAGCTCCACTCTTTGAAACCTAGGTGGTAGCCCCACCCTTTGAAAATGAGAAAGGAGCAGTCCTGTCCCCCCAACCCCTGTAATCCTTCTGACAGTCCTGTTGGTCTCTGAACTCTCGGGATAGTTCCTTTCTTTTCATGTTCACAATCAAGTTGCTTCAATGGCCCATTTTCTGCCTGTAGAATTTTAGGAATCAGATGGCTTTCCTTCTTTTTATCCTGTCTCTGTCTTTTTCAATCTAAACTGATAGGGTTTCTGTTGAGGTTGTTGACTAGATTCATGGTCAAAGGCCTAATCTCTTTAGCAAATGGTTATGTAGCTACACTCTCTTAATTTTTACAATAACCAAACCAACCAGTTGCCATTGAGTCAATTCTGACTCATGATGACCCCATGTGTGTCAGAGTAGAACTGCACTCCATAGTTTTTATAGCTGTGACCTTTTGGAAGCAGACTGCAAGCCTGTCTTCTGAGCAACCTCTAGGTGGGTTTGAACTGACAAACTCTTGGCTAGTAGTCGAGTACTTAACCATTTGTGCTACCCAGGGACTCCTATTTTTAAATAGAATTTTCCAAATCTTTAAATTCTGGTTTCTCTTTGCACAGTTTGTTTATACATTTAACTCTTTCCTCCCACATTTTACTATCAAGTGGCAAGGAGAAACCATGCCATTATCTTCTAGATTTTGCTTAGAAATCTCCTCAGCTAAATATCTAAGTTTATCACAAAATATTTGAAAGAGAAGTTCTTTGCTACTGTATAACAAGGATTGCTCTTCCTCTAGTGTCCAATAAAATGTCCATCATTTTAAAACCTCACCAGAAGCACATCGAACATCCACATTTCTAGCAATAATCTGTTCATGACAATAGCAGCTTTCCTCCACAGCTCTCAATTCTTTCTAAGCCCTCATCAGAATCACCCTTAATTTTCATAATTCTACCAACAGTCTCTTCAAGGGGAGGGGATCACATAAGGGCATGAACATTAGGAGGTGTTCATGGGGGATCATGGGGTCACCCTAGAGTCTGTTGGTTAGAACTTCATTGGAGTTATGTCTAGTTATTGGAAGAAGGGAACAGTTGTTCTGGCAACTGGAAGGATTCAATATCGAACCAGACCACCAGATCAGCTTAATACTTTAATTAGTACGATTAATGGGATTCTGCGACTCCTCTCTTGTGTCTATGCATCTTTTGCATGTCTCCTCTTCTGTATTTTTCAAAGACACGTTCCAGAGACAGAAATTTAGAGTCTGATAGGCCTATCTGAACACTAAACCTGACGTTCATGAGCAAAGCTGTTTCTTTACTGTGACAGATCTCGTCATAGGTTTATAGTCAGAATACAGAATGGCTGCCCTTGGGGCCTATTCCTATCCTGGTCCAATCAGGTGTAGTTGGGAGTGGGCGTCACATGTTGCAAACCACTTTTAAGGAACAGCTTAGGGTGTCTTCCGTTAGCAGCACGATAGAGGATGATCATCTTATTTGCCTATTAGAGGAAAGACTTAGTTTTCTCCTAGTGTAAATATATAGACTGTATATAACCATTTATGGGGAACATTTAACGTGCCAGATACCGTACTAGATTCCTGAGATTATCCCTAGTTCACTGGTGAGGAAACCAAGATTAAGAGAGATTAAATAACTTTTTATGGTCACAAAGCTAGGATTCCAGTCTCTCTGGCTCCAAAACTATCCTTTCTTCAATGTACACTGACAAGCTGAGTGAGCAGTGGTGTGAAAATGATGGGAGATCCACGTCTATTGCTCACTTTTACTGCTTCTCCTAGGTTCTTGTGCCTTTCAAACTGCCCTCTACCTGCTTCTGATACACCACAAACACCACAGTGGCCGAATGCTGTTCTTGGACTGTTTTTTAACTAATACTCTAGAAGTCTTTAATTTTTCCTTTTTGTAATTTCATTCCCATACTGGTTGGATTCTTAATTTATCTATTTATTTGATTTCTGTCATTTTCTTCTATTTTTTTCTGGCTGCTTGTTTCTTCCTGTTTTCCCAAGAGTAAATTTTCATCCCTACTTTTTCCTGGTTGTCATTGAGGCATGTTGCCTTTTGCTTCATATACCATTGAGAAAAAGCAAAAATTGAATATTTTATTTTTCAAGTTACACAAAATTCACATTTGTTCTTCAAAGAAATTACAGTAGGACTATTGGCTTTGCAAGTCTAGTTCCCAACAGTTGAAGAAAATATTTACGTATTTTGTCATTAAGACATCTCTTGAGAAAACATTAATAATTTGTAAAGAGCTGAATATGGTCAATGTTTTACTAGTTGTTACTTTTGATTATTTTGGGGGGGGTGTGACATAATATTTAAATTTGCCATTAACCATCAGTCTGCCATAGTAAAACGGTAAATATATGTCAATAGAGGTTTACCAAGATCAAAATCACCAACAGCCAGGTGTAAATGGGTTGGAGATTGGTGAAATGTGCTGAATTTGTGAAAACCTCAAATGTTTGGATAATCATGTTCCCACATAACAGCAGGCAGGAATCTGGGTGCATCTTAGCTGGGTTTCTCTGCCTCAGGGTCTCTCAGAAGGTGGCGCTCAAGGGTTGTGGTCTCATCTAAGTCTTGGCTGGGGCAGATCTATTTCAAGGTCACTCCTGTAGTCATTGTTAGGATTTAGTTCCTTCTTGGGTGTTGAACTGAGGCTGCCCTCAGTTTCTTGCCACGTGTGCCTCTTAAGAAGGACAGTCCACCCACCACATGACACCTAGTTTTCCTCAGAGAGCACAAGAGAGAGTACCAAAGAATGGAGTCAATCTTTTAAAAATATGTCAGAAGTGATATCCTAGCACTTCTGCCTTATTCATTAGAAGCTAATTCAAGGGAAGGGGATTACACAAAACAAGGGCATAAATAAATAGGAGGTGGTGATCATTGGCGCCATCTTAGAGGCTGCCTACCCAGACAGTGAAACAAATATGAAAAGAATGATATATAGTGTCACTTCAAATTAGGTGGCAAAGCTGGAACTGGGAAGCAAAAGCTTTTCCACACACGAGTGGAAAAGTGCACCGATTTTGGAGACAGAACTGCATTTCTATCCCAGCTGTTGCTCATTTTAGGTCTTTGAGGTTTAGTTTCACATAGAGATAATATCAAATAACGATTTATAGCTTTTTTTGTCAAACGGCTATCAAGACCCATTAATACTTACAAAGTAAGTATTTTTGCCAGAGCAAAAACTGCGGATTTAAGAGTTTTTGTTTTTTAAATGACATTTTTAAATGTTTTAATTAAAAAATTTTACACTTTTTGAAAGAACTTTTCAAATGTTTCTCTCTTGTCTTTTAATATCAACTTTACCTTGCAACTTTTCTTACTGCACTTTAACTTTTCTTTATTAAAATAACTGTAGAGTCTGATTTAGGAAATAATATTGGAGTTATTATTTCCTCTCCTTGAGCAAACAGAATGTGACTCAGCTGGAGCGGGGCTCACAAGGACTCACAAGAACACATCAACTGGGCCCTGAGGTATACATAGCTAAGATAATCTTGGGAAATATCTTTTAGAGAAACTTTCACATAAAACCAATCAAACAGAACACAAAAGACTTTCCACTCTTATCTTTTTCTATTAGCATTTAGTGAATAGAAACTTGTTGGCCCAATGAAGACCCTCTTGAAACCTGTACCGATTGTTAAGAAAAACAATTCAAAATGTAGGATCACAGTTTCCAGCCAATCTGAAAAGGCTAAGCTGTCAATGGTTCTGCCCATTTGTAACGTTAATATATACTGATGGCTCCGTAACTGTTCTTTGGACTCGGGCAGACATGGCTGTGGCAGCATGCTTGTCCGTTTTCCCATTCTTGCCTATTCTGTAATATTCTTTGGACTTGGGCAGACATGGCTATTGCAGCATGCTTGTCTGTTTTCCCACTTTTGTCTGCTCTGCGATATTTCTTCGGACTTGGGCAGACATGTCTCTGGCAGCATGGTTGTCCTTTTCCCACTTATGCCCTTTTGAATATACGCCAAATAAAACTTTTTGCTTTACTAAACTTTATGATGTTTTTACTCTACAAGTCCCAGAAGGGAATCTCATGTCCCTCTCTCCCTGGGCCTCCCCAGGTCTTCGGTCCCTCCTCCCACCCTAGGCTCTCCTCTGGACCCTAACCCCCAAACCCCGCCCTCCCTGGGCACCCCAGTCCCTTCCGGCGCCGGAGAGTTTCCCCCTCTTCCAGCCCCTCCCCGCTCGGTCCCTTCCACCTTCGGGCCTGCCCACCGACCTGGCCTTTCCCTGGTGCCCCGCTCCTCCCCACCCCCACAGCGTTCCTGGCCCAGGCTCTTTCAATCTCGGCCCCCCACCTGTCCCTCTCCAGGTAGCCCGGGCCCAGACCTCCGGGCCCGAGCCTTCCTACTCCCGGCCCTTCCCGGTCTTCCGCCGAGGTCCCTCAGTGCGGGCGTAACCCTCTATCAGGTCCGGGGCCAGAGAGCGCATGAGCCAGGCACCCGGGCAAGGAGGAGGACACACTCCGGAAGTGACGCGACGTGACGTCGACTTGCGTGCAGGGCGGCTGCGTCTGGCTGCAGGAGAAGATGGCCGTCTCCACAGGTCGGTTTCCAGTCCAGCTTTTCCTGTCCGACCCGGCTCTGCCTGTCCCGCCTGCTACTCGCGGCCAGGCGCTGACAGTCTGGGAGAAAGCGGAATGTGCGCGCTCGGACACGGCTCCCAGCAGAGCAAAGCCCAAGGCTGGAGAGTCAGGGCGGGATGGAACGGGCGCCGGAGCGGAGGGCCCGGGCTGCCGGCAGGAGGCGGCGGCGGGTCGTGTTCGCGTGTCGGCATCACGCCTGGCGGGGTTAGGGCGCGGGCATACACGCAGGGTCGGACTGGCGCGGGTGTCCGTCCTCGCGGCGGCGGGTCTAACTTTTGAGCGGAAGGAGGTGCGGGAGGAAGGAGAGTAGGCCTCAGGTGGGCAGGTGGCAACCTCGGGTACGGAAGTGGGTCGGTCAGGGGGCGTTCTTGATTGAGTAGTGGTCTAGTCGTGTACTTGCACCGAGTAGTTAGGGGTGGGATTGCTAATGAAGAGGGGACTGTTGGTTTTTAGAATAAGGGAGAGAGTATTATTTTTACCTGACTGAGTACATGTTATGCTTAAAATTTAAGTGAAAAACTGCAGGGCATACAAAAAGTACAGAGCAAGATGAAAGCTAACAAGTGGTTTCTTAGATAAGGTGGTCAACTCTCCCGTACAATGGTTGGTTTCCTTTGAGGACAGACTTTGAAATCGTTAACTGAGGTTTTAGAATTTGACCATTTAGAAAATGATAAGTTAAAAAAATGTTAATATGTATTGTCTGTCATTTTTCTAATCTTTATTGAAACATTAGGTTATAGAAGTGTGATTTCATATTTCATGCCATCATTGCGTAATAAAAAAATTTTAAAACACGTAGTAAAATGAAAGGCTTCAAATGTATGTTATGAGTGCTACTTTTAAGATAATACCCCAGGAAACATTCTGCATACATTTTAATAAACAATGATATCTTTTAAATCTCACTTAATAAAGTTCACACCTACAGGTGTCATAGAAGTGATAAGCTCTTTAGCAATTCTAGCATTGGGGAAATACTTCAATATATTTGGGGTTGGAGAGAACTAGTAAATATTATTAAGAAAATGACATTTTAGTGTTATAACTTTAATTATTGTACTTGCTATTGAATCACACTATTAGGGTATCCTAAGTGTGCTTATTAATGGGACTATACATTTAAGAGTTGTGCTTAGTACCTGTAGATTCTTGAACATCTAATAAATAACGCATTTTAATATGATTGATAGTTTTTGTTTTGTGGATTGGGTTATATATTGAACAGGAATTTTTTTTTTAACACTATGCCTATGAAAGTGTTACAATATTTTGAAAAGACTGAAGATTAGATGATATCAATGGGAAGTACCTTATGTTAACCACTTCCAGTCGTTTTTGGAAGTTGGGTATAAGTTATAAAAGAGCTGCTGATGTTAGCATATTTATCATGTATTGAAAGCTTGTGTTTTCTAGTTTATATCTCAACATTCTGTTTGTTACAGTTTTACTGTTCATAGATGTAAGAAATTTGAAACCTTGACCTAATTAAGAAGAGAATCTATTTTAGGCAGTTAATTGCGTTTTTTTAAACCACTGAAATTCCGTTTGAATCTGTTGCTATCAACTTGTCCTGGTTAATTTCTTAGTTCACACTTGTCCCTTTTCTGTGTTTTAGATCCTTGAAGAATTGTCACACTGAGGGGGAGATGTGTGCAGAAGCAGTTTTGTACTGTGTTTTGAAACTAACTGTTTTTGAAATATACTTTCCGTTAGCTACACTTTTGTATTGCTTACTTTTTGGTAGCATGAGAGGGAAACGGTACCTATATATTTGTGAAATAAATGTGTTATAACTCGAAATTTGGAATTAGATGAGCTGGATGAATATGATTTTTTTTTAAGCCAAACTATCTTGGTAAAAATAGTTATAAGCAAAAACAACAACAACCAAAACCCCAGAACAAAAGCATTTTTTGATGTTTATTAAAACATTATATATATTTTTGAAAATAATGTTTTATTGTGTTCGGTGGAAGTTTACACAGCAAATTAAGTTCCCATTTAATAATTACTATACAAATTGTTCAGTGACATTGGTTACATTTTTTCACAGTGTGTCCATGTTAATTCCATCTGGATGTTTCCTTTCCAGTAATCTGGTTTCCCTGTCCCATTACCCTTTCATCTTTGCTTTAGAGTAATCGTTGACCACTTGGACTCATAAAGATGATTTTTTAAAGGTGTGCAGTAATATTCACTGGTAATATTCATTATTTTATGAGCCAGTCTATTATTTAGCTACAAGGTGACTTCGGGGTAGTTTTGGTGCAGAGTTTATGGAGTATCCCAGGGCGAGAGTCTCAGGGAGTCCTTTAGTCTCAACCAATCCACTGAGTCTGAACTGCATAAGAATTTGAGTTATGTCCCACATTTTTATCCCCCTCTATCAGGATCCATCTGTGGTGGCCCTGATCAGAGTGGTTGCTAATGGTAGTTGGGCAGCATATAGTTCTTCTGGTCTCAGAGTAGATGTAAAGCTATATATATGTTGTTGTTAGGTGCTGTTGAGTCGGTTCTGACTCAGCGACCCTGTGTACAACAGAACGAAACACTGCCTGGTCCTGTACCATCCTCACAATTTTTGCTATGCTTGAGCCCATTGTAGCAGCCACTGTGTCAATCCATGTCGTTGAGAGCCTTCCTCTTTTTTTGCTGACCCTCTGCTTTACAAAGCATGATGTCATACTCTAGGGACAAACAAGTCCCTCCTGATAACATGTCCAAAGTATGTGAGATGAAGTCTTGTCATCCTTGCATTCTGGCTGTACTTCTTCCAAGACAGATTCGTTTGTTCTCTTGGCAGTCTGTAGTATATTCAGTATTCTTCACCAACACCATACTTCAAAGGCATCAGTTCTTTACTCTTCTTTATATATAAATGTGTATATATGTATACACACACACACACCTTTTATCATTTTAATTTTATTTATCATATTTCTTGCATGTAATATTTAATAATGCCAGATTTCATAAAACAGAATCTTTGAAGGTGATGTCTAGCATCTGTTCTTTTAGTATGCTTCCTGCATGTTTATTTTGCATTCAAAGTTTACAGTCCTCTGAGGAATGTCATGATCAATCTTGCAATTTGAAAGGATCCTTTGGGAGGTATTTGATTGATAAATTAGAGAAAAATAAAGCAAGACATAAGACAACCTGGAAGGAGACTCTCTTAGTTTTAGCTAAAGAGATGATGAATTTCTAAATTAGGTCAGCAACGAACAATGGGAGCAGAGGGACAGATGTTTTCAGTTAACAAAATTTATGAGAAAATTGCTTAATTCTGGGGGATATAACTATGGGAGAATTAGAAATACAGATGATGTGACACGTTTCTAGCTTGTGTCACCAGTGGTACACCAGTTAAGTATGGTCTGGGATTTGTTCAGTGTAAAGTGCCTGGAATTGATCCAGACAGAGATGGTCAGTAGGATGTTGATCCAGAGATTTGACAAGTGGTGATTTAATTTTTCTGAAAAGACAATATAAATTAGACTAGAAAAACATACAAGACTGGAAACGTTGGACACTACCACCATTTAGACAGAATCCAGAAGAAGAGAAGACTGAGAAAGGATCACTGGACAGGGAGCCAAATAGAAAGAAGTGGGGAGGAACAACAACAACAAAAAACTCCAAAGAAAACTCATGAATCAGTTGCTATAGAGAGTTTAGAAAGATAGGCTCCAAGACTGAGTATGAAAATACATTAAAAGCAAGTTCAGTTTCCATATTATTTCATCTGTCAGCAACATTTAAACAAGCTGAGCATCTCTTCCTTCTTAGCTTGGCTTTGAGAAAACATCCTCTCGAGGCTTTCCTCCTACTTCCTGTAACACTCCTCAGTCTTCTTTGCTACTTCCTCTTCCGTTTCCTGATCTCTGTGTTGCAGTTCTCTCAGGCTTACTCCAGGAGCCTGTTGTCTGTTCTCTCTTCCCTCATTCTACAGTTGATCTTATCAAGCTTCCCATTACCATATATATACTAATGATTCCCAAGTTTTCCTCTTTATCCAGGAACTCATCTTAGAACTTCAGTCTCACATATTCAGTTATCTACTTGACTCCTCAGTTGGATGTACGTTTGTGACCCCAAGGATAACATTTTCAAAACAGAGATCCTAATATTCCACAAGACCCCTCTCAACCTGACACTCAAATTCTGCTCCTTTTATTCCTTCTCATCTCATTGAATGACCAGTCCCTTCTTCCAGTTGTTGAACACCAATGCTTGTATACAGATTCCCTCCTCCTCTTAGCACCAGCACCACTATACCATGGTCTAAGCCATCATTGGTTGTTTCATACCTTGCTATTGCAGTATCTTCCTACATAGTTTCCCTGCATATACTCTTTCCTTTCTAAAGTTAGTTTTTAAAATATTTATTTTGTTGAGAATATACACGGCAAAACACACCAATTCAACAGTTTGTACATGTACGATTCAGTGACATTGATTACATTCAAGTTGTGCAACCATTCTCACCCTCCTTTTCTGAGTTGTTCCTCCCCCATTGACATAAACTCATTGCCCCCTAAGAGTCCTATATAATCTTTCCAGTTGCTGTTGTCAATCTGATCCCACAAAAATAGATCTTAAAAGAGCATAATGCTTAAGGCGGACATTCTTCACTAGTTAAGCTCAACTAATGTTTGATTTTAAGAAGACTTTCGGGGATATTTTTGGTTTAAGGTTTAAAGATATCTCAGGACATTAGTTTCAGGGATTCATTCGGCCTCCATGTCTCCAGAAAATCTGGATTCCATGAGAATTTGAAATTCTGTTCTGCATTTTCCCCCTTTGATCAGGATTCTTTTATAGAATCTTTGATCAAAATGTTTAGTAATGGTAGCCGGGCACCTTCCACTTCTTCTGGTCTCTTGGCAGTGAGGCAGTTGTTCATGGAGGCAATTAGCTACATGTTCCATTTTCTCCTACTCCTGAGCCTCCTTCC